CCCTGGGGGGTAGTGAGTTGTCCGTCCCGAGCCAAGCCCTGATGGTCTGGGCCCCGAGGAAAAACGATGATATAAACAAATACACCACGCGAGTCTTCCCACCTGTGCATCTCATAGTGATGGAATGCTTCGGTAGAAGACATTGTCCAATTTAGTATCTGAATGTCAGCGAATCCGTGTGGAAGACGAAGCCGAGAGAGACGCCGACGACTACGACGACTCTAACTCGGCATTTCCTCCATTGTTCCTCCTCCTCCTTGTCCTCCTCCTATGTGTCCTTCTTCTCTGAACATCCTCGGAAACAGATCCGAAAGAGAATGATGTTGAGCACCCGCACAGGCAAACCGCCTGAGACATCCCCCCAATCTGGACGCGAACGGGCCCGTGAGATAGCCCCTGGCGGCCCCCTCTTGGGAGTGCAGAAACCAGCGCCTCGCCTGGGACATCCTCGGAAACTGCTCCGAAAGAGAAGGATGATGAGCACCCAAGCAGGCAAACCGCCTGAGACATCCCCCCAACCAATCTGGACGCGAACGGGCCTGTGATATACCCCCTGGCGCCCCCCCTTGGGAGTACTGAAGCCAGCGCCTCGCCTGAGACATCCTCACAACGTGTGTGTGTGTGAGTCTGAGCGCGGAAGTACCAAGAGCGTGAGTGAGTCTGCATATGAGTGATCCCGGGCATGAGAAACCTGAGTACAAGGAATCTAAGAGCGAGTGCATCTGAGTATGAATGAATCTGAATATGAATGAGTGAGTGAGTCAGCGAATGATGACCTGAAGGTGGGAGGTGTTCTCTCGTTCTCCGCGCGGTCAACATAATTGTTCACTGCGTGGGGCTCCCCATATGTGTATCTATTCGCGTGGGCCTGTCCGCCGTGAGAGTCTAGGCGCAAGAGTTTTCGAATCTAAGCGGGCTTGAGTTGTGACGGTCTGGTCATGAATCTAACTTCGAACGGATTGGAGCGCGAATGAGTCTCGGTAGTACGAGCGCGTCTCTGCGCATGAGCCTGCGGCCTCCTGGGGCCTCCAGAAACCTCCTGGGCCTTCCTTAGGCCTCCAGGAGCCTCTTGGGGCCTCCTGGGGCCTCTTGGGGCTTCGAGTGGCCTCCTAAGGCCTCCTGGAGCCTCGCGTAGCCTCCTGGAGCACCCTGGAGCCTCCTAGGACCTCCTAGGGAGGATCCGTGCCCCAGGAGAAGCCCGATCTATAGGAACAGACGTGCATAAAACATTGCGGATTGGAGCCACAGGAGAAGGGCAGTCTACAGGAGCACACGTAAAACACCAAGGACTCGTGCCCCAGGGGAGGCCCAATATATAGAAACAGACGTAACACATTTAGGATTGCATACACAGGATAAGGACACTATATAGAGACATACGTATAGCATCAAGAATTCGTGCTCCAGGTGAGGCCCAATATATAGGAGCATACGTAAAACTCGTGGGATTGGAGCCACTCCTGTTGCCTTCTGAGGCCTCCTGCTCCTGGGGCCTCTTGGGGCCTCCTGTTGCCTGGGCCTCCTGGCGCTTCCTGCGGCCTCCTGGGGCCTCCTGTGGCTTCCTGAGGCCTCCTTGAGTTTCCTGGGGCCTCCTGGAGCCTCTTGGGACATCTCGTGGCCTCTTGAATCTTCCTGTGGCCTCCTGATGCCTCCTGGCACCTCATGTGGCCTCCCGTGGCCTCCTGAAGCCTGCTGGAGCCTCCTGTGGCATCCTGAGGAGAATGTGTGCCCACGAGTCTGGCCACCAAAACAGGCAAATCGATCGAGGCATCCTCAAAATCTGGCCCCCCTGGGGGGCGAAAATGAGCGCCTCGCTCGAGACATCCTCCAAAACTGTTCCGAAGGCGGAGGATGTTGGGGACCACAACAGGCAAACCGCCTGAGACATCCCCGCCAGTTGGGCGCGAACGGAGGCCGTGCAATATCCCTGGCGGCCCCCCCTTACGAGGCGCTTCGCACGAGACATCCTCAAAATCTGCTCCGAAAGCGGAGGATGAAGGGGACCAAAAGAAGCAAACCGCCCGAGACAGCCCCGCCATATTGTCGCGAATGGAGGCCGTGAGATACCCCCTGGCGCCCCCCCCCCCCTAGGAGTGCTAAAACCAGCAAGCCGCTCGAGACATCCTTATCATCTGCTCATCGCCATCGTCATCGTCGTCGTCGTCATCATCATCATCATCATCATCATCATTGTCATCATCATCATCATCATCATCATCATCATCAGCACCATCAGTGTGCTCAACCATCATTCACCATCACCATCATACTGACATTATATTCTCACAATACCATGGTCACCATCATGGTATGGGTGGTCAGGCGCGGTCGGAGAATATCAAGAGCCCCATCTTCTGGATATGGGGAATCACAAGAACACCATCCTTAGGACATGGGGTATAATACATCGACGGAAGTCGGGGGAGTCGGTCTGGCCGCCACTAGCGACGTTGGCGACGCTCGGAGGGGTCCGAGCGGAGAACGTGGGCACCGGGCACCTCTGGCACCTGCGGGGGCCCCCCCGAATCTTGCCGAGAGGCTGGCGGGTTGTCGCCGCCGAGGCGTTTTGGCCGAACTTAAGACGAAGATATAATGGAGACAACACCGGACATATATAAATCGAGAACCCATGAAAATCGGCGGGTTTGGAAAATGTATGGGGCGCCGCTGCCGTTTCGGAGCGTTCAGGAACGCTCTGAGAGCGCCGCAGAAGAAGACTACGCAGTTCTGTTCATTGCCACCAAAACGCGTACCTGGCAGCGTTCTTCCCTCCCCCCCCGCCGCGGGCACCGCGAATCGCCGCGGGGCCCGCGGGGGGGGGGGCGAGTAGGGCGGTTGGGTGAGAGGCTGGGTAAGGGGGGGCGCGCGCTCAGGTCCTCTTGTTCTTCGTGCTCCGGGCCTTGGTCCTCCTCATGACTTTTCCTCCCCGCGGTGGGGGAAGACCCACTTTTTTTCAGGTTCGCTGCTTCTCTTGGCTGGTGCTAGCTTTCGCCGCAATCAGCGGCTTTTGCCTCTGTAGGCAGACACGAAAAAAAGTGAGACCTTCCCTCCCCGCGGTTGCGGGGGGAAGGTAAACATACCCCCGCGCACGACGCGCGGCGCCGTGGGCGCGCAACGGCCAAGCGCGAGGCCTGCGCGCTCCGCGCGGCGTCGGCGCGCCGCCGCGGCAGCGATTTGATGACAATTCGACTTCGCTGACTCTGCTCTGGCGCAGGAGCCGCTTGGCAAGGCACTTGGGAGGTGCTTGCGGGCAGCCCAGGAAAGGCACTTGGGAGGTGCCTGCGGGCGCCTGGGAACAGCGCTGGGGAGGTGCCTGTAGGCAGCCCAGGAAAGGCACTTCCGATGTGCCTGCGGGCCGCCCAGGAAAGCACCTGGGAGGTGCCTGCGGGCAGCCCAGGAAAGCACCTGGGATTGACAATTGATGTCAATTCGATTTCGTGGCAGCCTCTGGCGCAAGAGCCGCGCTTCGCCGATCGCGATGTCGTGGACCTGTTGGTGCGCGCGTTGTAAAGCAACGTGTCCCGTGCACACGTTGGGCAAGTTTTGCGCCGAGATCGAGTCCGGACAGCCTTTCGCGCATTTCCGCCCCGACGTGGTCCTAACGGCGCTGCGCGCAGCCCTGCCAGAGCTCGGGGTGTCTCAGCATCAGGCGTATCGCACCCACGATCTTCGCAGGGGTCACGCGCAGGACACGGCTGTCCGAGGTTCGCGGCTGGCAGACATCCTCTGAGCTGGAGACTGGCGTTCTGCGTCTTTCCTGTCCTTTTTAGATAAGGACAAACTGGAGGCGGGTGCCGTCAGGGAAGCGCACGGCGACCTGTCGTCCAGCGACGATGATGAGGGCCAAGTGAGTGGCATTTTCGGGCACCTCGCGCGAGTGCGGCGTTGGGTGTTCCCTCGCGCGCGGGTGCAGCAAGTGCCTTTGGTGTCGCTGCACCCGCGCGCTCCCGCGGGGCGCGGCGACGCGAGTAAGGTGTCGCGCGCCCGCCCCGCGGGTGCGGGCCTACCCAATGAGCAGCGCTCCCCGCGCTCTCCTCTACCCCTTCAGCTGTCTAGGGTAGCGTCTTTTGTGTCGAGTGCGAGGATTCTTTTGGACGAGCTGTGCGGCAGTAAGCCAGAGCCAGGTCGGCCAGACTGGCCGCAGGCAGATGGATACCCCAAATCGCCCTCCTCCTGCTCGCCTTTGTCCTCCTTCTCCTCCTCCTCCTCCTCCTCCTCCTCCTCCTCCTCCTCCTCCACTTCCTCCTCCTCTTCCTCCTCCTCTTTCTCCTCCTCCTCGTCCTCCTCCTCTTCCTCCTCCTCTTCCTCCTCCCTCAGGGGGGTGCAGTGAAAGGGGGATGCGGTCACGAACTTTTACTTAGCGTGTCGCGGTAGCTGCCCCGGGGACACGCTATGCCCCGGGGACACGCTATGCCCTGCGAGCGGATAGCGTGTCGCTCCGCCCCACGGGGCGGGAGGCTGGGGAGGCTCGGGATGTTGACGCTCGGGGACCGGGAAATGGATCGCGCGTCGCGCCGAAGCGAGGTGGGCCAGCACCAGGTGGGCGACACGCTGACCAAAAGTTCCCGACCGTTGCCAATCAGCTCCCCTGGCTGGTCTTCCTGGGGCTCGGGCACATATACATCAAACAAAGCGCCGAGCGGCGCGGCCGAAACCAGCTGACATGCAGCAAATTTCGTACCCGCCCCTTTCCATATCCACCCACTTCGATCGTCAACCGATCGGACCGCTGGCATGACCGAGTCGATCCAATCGAACCCCAACCGCGCATGAGAGATTTCGTCCATTTGGGGGTGCGCAATCCTCTCCTTTTGCCACTCGCGGGCATCGGCTCGCATCATCCGGCCGGTCGAACGGTGGACAGCCCTGGCGTCCACTGGAGAAGATCTACTGCGGCAAGAGTTCGAGCAGCCCCTGGACGCGTGCACGAGGCGAAGAAGAGGAAGCGGCAGGCGGCTGGAGCGGCAGGAAGAGAGGGGGCAGGTCAGCCGCCGCGGCGCCTGGCACGCGCCCTGCAGCAGGGCCGCCAGCAGTCCCGCCCTGGCCGGCACCACCAGCGCGCCAGGGCCTCGCCCGAAGAGGGATGGCCCTTTCTCTGAGCAGGGACCGACCGTCCGGGCATTCCTATAGTCCTACCACGAACTGTTCCTAGAACCCCAACAAAAGGATCTGAGAACAACAACAATGTCTTTAGAACATGAACCCGATGTGTTAGAACAATGTTCTTAGAACATTCGCCCGATGTCTTCGCTTGGTTTATCCCCCTCCACACGGCGCGGAGCAGGCCCGGCCGTCAAAAACTGCCCAGGAGGAGAAACCGGTCCCGGCGAAGGGGTCCAGACCTCCTGGGGTCCACGCTGGGAGCACGAGCGCGCACCCCGTCGCGTGTGGCTCTCGAGTCGTGGCGCCTGGGGCGTGCACGAAACAGGAGGGACACGCCGAGCGGAGGGGGGCGAAGACCAGAAAAAACGGGCCCAAGCGTGGCGCGCGGGATTCCCGTCCCCATCCCCAGAGTCCGAAGAGGGAGGGGGGAGGCCGGCAGGGGAGGGAGGTCGAGGAGGTCGAGGAGGATCCGAGAAAATGAGAAGCCGCTGCGGGTGCTCCAACGTCGAGTGGCCTCGTGGCCTGGCAGTGTGGCTCTCGGGAAGACTATTGGATATTGCTGCTCCTTCGGGGCCTCGCCAGATCACGACATCTCGCGAGAGGAGCCACCGTCTATGCTGCTCGTGCGGCTGCTCGCCAATAAAATTGCCTCGGACCGAGCGGCCTGCTGGAAGTTAGATGAGGAGGTGGAGGAGGGAGAGGGTGAAGGAGACAGCAGAATGACGATGAGCGAGGAGTCCGCAAGGAGAAGTGGGATGGGGGATGGGAGGAGGTGGGAGGAGGCGTCACCAAACGTGTTCGGCTTCGCTTCCCTGAATCGTTGACTAGGCCGTTCCCATAAACGTGGGGGGGGTCCTGTAAACGTGGGGGGAAGCGCCGACATTCATCCTTCCATGTCGTGGATTACGTAGAAGGTAATGGCGAGGGAGTGCACTGCATAACGTGGCAAGTAACTACCCTGATGTGTCCTCGAACCCCAACGGCCCGATACGAAACAGCACATCACCAGGGGGGCGGACCTTCAGAGTCAGCAGTCAGTCCAGGAGCCCTTGCAAAGATCATGAGAGTGAGGGGGCCGAGCGGTCGATCATTGTCCCTGGGTGCGTGGCTGAAGTGTGATTCCGCTGCGCGGATTCTGCTTGTGATGTTGTCTGTTGTCTGTGATATGTTGTCTGTTGTGTGTTGTTGATGTTGATGTTTTTGTTGTTACTGCTGTTGTTGTTGTTGCTGGTGTTCTTGAGTTCTCCCTTCTATCGAATAACTACTGCTGGTCCCCCCTGCCCGGTAACCGTTGCACCTTTCAATTAAAGTACCTCTCCCAAGCTCGCACCCCGTTTTACAATGGAAAATGAAATCTCAACAAACTTGGCCCCTTGCCCCCGGTTTACAAAAACAACGGCTCCCGCATGACGCTTCCTCACCGTGTATTCCCAAATCGCGCTCTCGCGCGGAACTTCCTCACACTGTATGCAGGAATCGTGCTCTCGCGTGGTGCGTCCTCGCAATTTGTTCAATCGCCGCACCCTCGACACCCAAGAATCACGCTCTCGCTGTGGATTCCCTCACGATTAAAATTGGGGAATCGCGCTGTCGCTCGAGACGTCCTCGCAACTCATGCGGGACGTACGCTTCAGCAACCCGCCTGCCCATTGTCCCCTTCTTCCATCCGTTCTCTCTTCGCGAAGACTCTTCGCCTGCCTTAGGGGCCGTGCGAAACACACGTTGCAAGTACGAAAGACATACCTGTCAAGGGGTACGAGCGAAGACAAAGAGAGCGGGTACCGAGGGTTCGGGGTATACGTGTTGGATGGCACGCGGGCAGATAACGCCGACCAAATTTCAACTGATTGTTGTTGCTGCTGCTGGTGTTGTTGTTGTCGTGGTCGTTGTTGTTCTTGAACTCTCCTTTTCTTACCCCCTCCAGTGCCCATGTGCTTTTCTCAATCGAAGTGTCCATCCCGAGTCTGGCCTCCTTGGACTTACTTACAACATGCCCAGGAATCGCGCTCTCGCGTGGGATTTCCCTTCGAGTTATTCAGGCGCCACGCCCTAGAACTGCAGCCAGCGGGGCACTGAACCGATCAGTGGTTGGCGCTGCCCTGAAAGGCTCTCAATACACAGTGGTCGTTGGCAGTGCAACTGCAGCATGGGATATGGGCCTGGAGTTCCGCATTGCCAGAAACATCTTCTCGTCTCCTCCTGCTCCTTCTGCTCTTGCTCCTCCTCCCTCCTCCGCCTCCTTCTCCTCCATTCCTTCCCCCTACAAATGACTTACCCCTGTCGCACCCCAGGGCCAGTTTTTAGGGCGGGCCGGGCGTTTCGACTGAGACTTCCTCTCCACTTATGACATTGAAGCTTAACAAATGGCAACGGCTTCACAAATGGAGGGCAGGCCGTTTTCAAAATGTTGCTCTCGCATTAGCGGTAGCGCCGCGCTCGCTCGTTTTCAAAATTTGCAAGAGCTTCACGGATTGAGGGTGGGCCGTTTTCAAAACGTGGCTCTCGCCTCAGCGCCGCGCACATTCGTCATAAACAGTTGCAAGAGCTTCACGGATTGAGGGCGGTTCCTTTTCAAAATGTGGCTCTCGCCAGAGCACCGCGTACATTCGTTTTCAAAATGGCAAGGGCTTCACGGATTGAGGGCGCGTCGTTTTCAAACTGTGGCTCTCGCCTGAGCGCCGCGTACATACGTGTTAAAATATTCATAGAATCCGCCGGATTGAGGGCGGCTCCTTTTCAAAATGTGGCTCTCGCCTGAGCGCGCACATTCTTGTTAAACAAATTGCAAGAGTTTCACGGATTCCCATGGTTGGCGTACCACAAAGAATGCTTTTGAAGGATTCGCGATTATGTGGGCACAACAGTTACGATGATCCCCGGCGTTGAAGTCCTAGGGATGGCGTTCTGGCACGATTCAGGATCGTCAAGACGCAACGCTCAGATTTATCCGTAGCGTTAGAATGCTGAGGATAATGTGTTGGCATGCTTCAGGGTCTTCAAACGGTTGTCTTCCAACGAGGCAGGTTCCTCTGTGGAAACGAACCCTTGTTGGGGCCTGTGAAGAGAGAGCTTGGGGGGAAGGCTTGCTCCAACATCGTTGGTGACCCTTGGGTGTACACTGGTCCTCCTCCTCCTCCTCCTCCTCCTCCTCCTCCTACTCCTCCTCCTACTCCTACTCGTACACCTCCTCTCCCCTGCCACCCCCCATTGCCGGGAGGGTCGATGCTCCCACACTGCTGGGCCGATCCTGGGCAGAACTCGAGCTGAGGCCACTGCGCGCCAGCAGCTTCTGGGCTGCGGCTCCCACCTGTCGGCGCAGGTCCTTGGGGGTGGAGGGGGGGGGCGACGCTCTTCCAGATGATGAAACGCCTCCTGCCTCCTCCTCCTCCTCCTCCTCCTCCTTCCCCCTCCCCCTCCTCCTCCTCCTCCTCCTCCTCCTCCTCCTCCTCCTCCTCCTCCTCCTCCTCCGCCATGTCCACCCTGTCCCCCTTTGTTCCACCTCGCTCTGGCCACCTCTCGCCCTGGTCTTCACGCGCGTGCCCTCGCACAAGCCTGCGCGCGCACCTGCTTCAAGGCCTCCGTCGGCATCCGTGGGCAAGCCGCGCACGTCAAGGGACCACAACTCCTCACCCCCTCTCCCTCCTCCTGGCGCACGGTTCCCCCCGGGGCCGGAGGAGGAGGAGGAGGACGAGGAGGAGGAGGAGGAGGAGATGGAGGAGGAGAAGCAGGAGGAGGCGGAGGAGGAGGCGGAAGAGGAAGAGGATGAGTAGGAGGAGGGATGAGGAACAGGAGGATGATGATCATGATGATGATGGTGATGATGATGGCACGCCCTTGAAGACGGGTTCGCGAGATCCGCACGTCTCAGAAGCGCCACCGCCAGCCGTCCTTCGACAGAACGTGGGAAAAAAAATAACAGAAGAGAGGAAAGCGAAGAGGAGATGGAGTTGGAAAAAGAAACAAAAAACACAACAGATAACACAGGCGGATAAGCAGAACCCGGGTTGAAGCTAGCCCTCAAGGCGGCGCTCGTTTTGAGTCTCCCAAGAACCCAGATTTCAAGCACATAGAGAATCCGCAGTGAACTGAAATACATCCCATTGGGCTGAAATTGAAACCCATAAATAATGCTGAATAATGGGAATCATAATCATAATCACAATGAATCACGTTGAACTGAGGGACCCAGCATTCAGAAGCCATTGACAGATGAACTGAAGAAAACAGAGACAATAGGGTAGGAACCCAAACTGATTTAGGAATGAAGAGTATGAGGTACACAGCACTATGAACCCAAGTAAACGCGCGCGGATATGATGAGCACGCAATCATGAGATGAGTAGGCATAATTAGTAAACCAAATATTTAGAACGTTTAGTATTGGGCTAGGATAAGATTTAACTATTCTTTTAGTCGTGCATCGATGGAGCAAACCTCCACTTCCAGTGCTCTACCACACCGTCGCCGTTCCAAGCGAGACTGTCTGGATACCAAATGACGTTCTGAGCCCATCCGCTCTCCTGGTCAACCAGGAGGAAGAGGAGGAGGAGGAGGAGGAGGAGGAGGAGGAGGAGGAGCATTAGGAGGAGGAGGAGGAGGAGGAGGAGGAGGAGGAGGACAGGTCGCGTGAGCCCTTCGGTGAAACCCTCCACCTCCTGGTCGACGTCGTCGTCGCCGTCCTCCCGCTCCTCGTCTGCATCCTCTCTCTCTCTCTCTCTCTCGTGCGGTCGCGTGCTCAGCCACCCGAGTCGACAGCGCTCGCCGAACGTGCCTTGTGGCAACTGACGCACCGAAGGGTTAGAAGAGGCGGGGGGGAAAACCCGGGAGGAGGAGGAGGAGGAGGAGGAGGACTACGTGGAAGAGGAGGGGGAGGAGGACTTAGAATGACGGGTGGTGGTGGTGAAAACCAGACGGTGAACATGGCGGCGACAGCTGTGACAAAGGAGCTCTTCTCCTTCTCAGAGACATGCGTGTGTACGCGCCGGCGCTTGAGCCAGACGGCGACAGGTCATCCTCTTTGAGTCGGGATTGCGTGGGCGATCGAACAGCCCTGGCGGAGCAGTGAAGCCGAGAAAAGAGGAAGTCAGATCTGTCCAACCCCCGCGCACCTTCCCAACCCATCCAAGGTACACGGCCGCCATCTGGAGGGCGCCGACCTGGGCGGATGGCGGGCTCACCGATTGCACTTGCGAGCTCAGCCGTGCTCTTACGAATAACACTAGGCACAACTATCGCGAATGTGTGTGGGTGTGCTCACAGAGAGCCGTGTCGGTGCCTGTGGACTCCGAACTGCGGACGGAAAGTCCGAAAGCCTGCAGCAGATTGCCCGGCGAAGTTGAAGCTCGGAGTCGTGCCAGTTCGAGGATCGGGAGAAGAGCAGCCCTGACCCGGTAGTGCGAGAGTGGGGAGCAAGGAAGCGTGGACCATGAGGAGGGTGCGCAGACGCCGCACAGCCGCCACGCTCGCTGAGTGCTCTCAGTCGCGATCTCGCTCGTCGTCGGTGGGATCCTTGACCAGAGGCTCCTCCCGCGAAATGCCCTCTTGCTCAGCTGCTCGCCCTTCGCCCGTGGGGTCTGCATCCGAGGCGCCCAGGAGGCGTGGCAGATCCTGTGGACTCGTCCGCTGGAGGACCTAGCGTCTATCGGGCTTGTAGACTGCCCTGCCCGCGCCACATGCTGAGGGGCTCACCGTGCACGAGCATACACGGGTAACGCCCATCATCGCAGCATACGGCATTAGTGCTGTAAGTGCTGTAGGAATCTAGGCACGGGAACTGTCGAACGTCGGATTCTGCATTACCTGCGCAGAACTGCCGGACTTCTTTTGACGTCTGTAGCATTGTCAACAAAGGTACCCGACTGCAGCGGTACCAACTGGTAACAGATCATCTGGACGGCCTGGCCGCTCCTATGCATCCCTTTTTACGACCTCCCAGAGCAGCAGTAATAGCAGCAGTTGCGTCCATCCCCCCTCTGAGGCGCTCAAGGCTCAGAGGGTTCTCGTTACTTTCAGCGTCAGCGGTGGCTAGCGTACGAGGAGGACGGCGGAGATTCCTGATCCTTCAAGAACCTTAAACGAAAGAAAGGGAAAGCGAAGGGGGAAGTGATAAAGAAAGAGAGATAGAGAGAACAACAACAAAAAACGGCGGGGGGGGGGACGGCAATAATGATTGTAATGTTGGTGAACCGACGAAGTCGTTAGTCACCCTCTGGGGGCGCGTACGGAAACGTCGCGACTGGCGGAACGAATGACGAGGGAGAACTTTCTCAATGACCTTCGATCTCGAGGAGGGCGTGGGGCAACTCCATCCGACCACCGAAGTCTTCAGAACTTCCACAACACCCCCTCCTTCTCCGAACACATGTTGCCCCCCTCTCTCTTCCTCAGTCCTCCTCCCTCCTGCTTGCCGTGCTGTCTTTTGGCGACTGTGCTGCTGATGGGAACGGTGGTGTGGAAGATCACCGTCATGAGGACTCGCCCCCGCTTCTCCAGTCCTCGGACCTGCCTCTCTGGAGACCCCGGCTCGTTGCCCGATGGTGGTCGGACCATACATCCGCTCTCTGCGCTCTGGGCACGCCCAGAGCGCTCTCGACACGGCGCAGCCGCTGGAGGCCGCACAGAGGCTGGCAAGCCGCCGAGAGACCGGGCGAAGACGTCCGAGAACCTCGGACCTCGAACGTCCGAGATCTCTCCAATTTCCAGCACGCACCCCGCACCCCTCACACCAGCCCTCCTCCAGGTGGGAAGCTTCGCTACAAACTCTGACGGCGGCTCAAGTCTACAGCCCCTGGCCAGGGTGGACAATTCGGGCCGCGGCGGTTGTTGGTCGCCAGGCAGGGCGGGATCTCAATGCTGCCAAGACTGTTTCAGAGCAAAGAGCTCTACGGTTGTGGCGTAAAATGCCCCAGACGGCGCTGCGGAACATGACGCTTCCTCCCGCCGAATCGATCAGATCCGCTCTCCTCGGTCTCACCCGCCCCCTCCGGGGAAGAGAAGGAGAACGAGGAGGAGGAGGAGAGGTAGAGGAAGGAAGCGGAGGAGGGTGATGGAGAAGGAGGAAGAGGAAGAGGAGGAGGAGGACGAGGAGGAGGAGGAGGAACGCCAGCACCTGGGGGCAACGTCATTCAGCTATGCGCGGGGCCTGGGCCTGAGCCATTTGTAAGGCCGTGACTCCTGAGGCGTCGGAGGCATGATAGGCTAATTATCTGGCATTTTGGAGAGGGCTGCTCTGAAAGCGACCAAAGTCTTCTCGAAATCGAGAGGCCGCCCGCGCTGACGGGCAACCATTTTTGGGGAAATGTGGTAGATGTAAAACGAAAGCGCCGTCGAGAGAATCGCAACTCCCTCGTCAGATCGAACGCGGGATACTGGACAGGGAGGCCGAGACCGAGGCGAATCAGAGGGCAGGGAGGGACGTGGGCGCGGGGGCGGCACAAGAGGTGGAACAGACGAGGGCACTTAAGATAGTGAGCAATGCAGCGAAAACACCCGAAGACGCAAGTCCAACACTGCTCCGTCACGTACGTACGGTCGGTCGTAGTCCACCCCCCAGCGACAGTCTTCAGCCACACCCAGCGGATGGACGGCGGAGCGCGGAGCAGGATTTCTCGAGCCAGATCCCACCGCTCCTGCAGTCGTGTGGGGGTGGCGCCAAACCAAGACCGCACGCGACGCCCAATTAGGAGGTGGAGGCGTTTGGAGAAAACTTGTTGGGAAATACACGTTCAAGAAACTACTCTGAATGTTAAGCTTCTTGCCCAGAGCAAACGCTTCCGGGGCGGCGACGCGACTTTCCAGCTGGGCAGCACGAACTTCTTCGGATGCCAGTGGCGGTAGCGCCGTGGGCACGGCACGGTGGAAGGAAACGTCGCACTGTACAGCTGCCGCATTCATCCTCCAGCACGGGGCGCACCACTGCTGCTTCATCAAGCCCACAAGGGGCACGTGGTCCACAGTCCCGCCGATCGGGCTGGCAGCATCACGCGTGCGACGAAAGAGAGGACCCCAGACAGTGTCGAGCGTGAGCGAGGCAGACCGCCAGGCATTCGCGACCGCGGAACACGACATGGAGATGGGCGAAGGAGGGCGGGGGGCCAAGCGGACAGGGACAGGACCCCCGAGAGGGCGAACGAGTTGAGCACGCCCCACAGCTCACGGCGCTGCAATGCACTCTTTACAGGGTAGCGTTGACTCTGGTACGAAAGGGCATGCGATGACCGCTGAGTTGTACAGCCCAGACGTGACATCCGCAGAGGCCTGGAGGAGCCCGGGCTCCTTGCCACGCCGAATCTATTTCTGAGTGGGGCCATCCCAAATCAGCTCGACGATAGTGGCGCCTGGACCTATGTACGTTCCGAGGTACTTAACATATTCACGGATGCCGAAGGTGGCCCAAGGAGGCGAGCACTCGGAACGCATAAGCCGAATTCTGGATTCGAGGGCGCTGCCAAGCTGTGGCCACCGCGGGACTACTACACATTTACTTGGGTGCAATCTCAAGGTCGCCACATGCTGTATACGGGTGAACAGGGGTTCGAGGACTTCCGACCAGTCGGAGCGACGCGAGAACAGCGCCAGCGTCGTCAGCGCAGGCTCCCATCGTGTCGATTTCAGGGGAGGGGAGGACTCGGGCGGGAAGGCGGAGGAAGGGGTCGAGTCCGAGCGCCCACAAGGAACTGCTAAGCGGGCAGCCCTGAGCCACTCCAGAACGGATGGGGATCGAGAGAAAGGTCTCACCACCAACGCGGATCCAACCGACCATCTTCTCGTAGGGGGTACACATCACATTCAGCTAGCCAGCAGACGTATTGAGACGCCCCAGAACACGGGAAACAAGTTCGTGCTCAGGCTAGGGAACGCCGAGACAAAGTCAAAGCTGATAAACACGGGGCACATGTCGGGCGCGCGAGGGTCCAGCGAGGCAACTCGGGCCTCGGCGCCCAGAGAACGAATGTGTTTTGTGGACTTCCTGCCCGGGATGAAACCTTGCTGCGATGATTCGACGCTAGCCTCAGCAACTGATTTCAGGAAGCGGTTCACCGAGCTGGCGGTCGCCTTGGAGTCAGCATGATTGAGGGCGAGGGGCCGGATGGCACCGGGTGACCTGGCGCAGCCCAGCTCGCCCGACCCGCCAGGCCCCGCGTCGCTCTTGGACACGACAGCGAACAGACTGCCACTGATGCCAGCAGCCAGGGATGACCCGTCGAACATTTTTTGACCGTGAGCGCGTGCGCGTTTTCCATGGCCTTGGACGAAGGGGGGTAGGCGTGGGGGCCCGTCGGGGCCAGGCGCAGCGTGCCGAGCACGAAGGAAGGCCTGGTGCACCTGCTCTGACGAACGAACAACACACACCCATACCCATAGGGAGGTCGGAGGAAGGACTGGCTATGGGCATGGGTGCGGGTTGTCGGACCCCTGGGAAGGCTCCCGTTCGAGCGGAGACCCCCATCCGACAACGCGCGCCCATGGCTCATTCCGTCCCCCTTATGGGTATGGGTGCGTGTTGATCGTTCGTCATGCCCGTCCGTCGGCACGGGGAGGCCTCGCTTCTCGTGCTGCGGCACCGATACGCCCAAGGGTTCATCAATCGTGGAGTTGGCGACGCCCAAAGCGCCGATGCTGAGGAAGACAGGTGTCCACTGATCCGACGGCCCCTCAGCAATACATACAGCCAGGCCCCCTTGCAACTGGTCCAGCAGGGCAAGCGGCGTGTAGTTGGATGCCGTCCAGCACGAGACGCTTGCGGAACGGGGCCCACAGGGCGGCCCGCCCCCGCGCCGCGTGCTCTCGGCGAAAGAGAGCAGCCTCACATCCAGAGGCGTGGCTGCGCTGGGCGCGTTGGGCAGCCTGAAGGACCTGATGTGCATGCCATTGGTGGTTGAGGCGTTCGTGGGGAGCAGCGAACTCCCCAGGACCAATGAGAGAAACTCTATCACCATCAATCACAAGGCTCAGCTGGCCAAGCTCCGCATGCATGAGAAGCTCGCGAGCAGACCTGACGCTCCGTCTTCACATGCACTTCGCAATGCCCCGCATTGTCGGGCGCTTGGCCTCGAGAGCCGACAGGCCGCGTCCATCGGGGGCTTGAATCGATGCATCGCGAGCGAAGCGCGTGGCTATCCGCATCGTGCGCTTTGTCTCAGACATCCGCAGCCCAGGCGCCAGGGCCGGCCGCTCGAGCTCCTCCATCAGAGCGCGCAACATCTGGGCGTACTTCTCAGATTTGAAGATCCGCGTAGGAAGGAACTGCTCTGCTTCAACTAACTGCGGTGGTGGAGTGACCGCTCACTAGACAATTGGGGAGTCTTCGGCAGCCTCCCTGTGAACCTCGAAGTCACATATAACCTGCTCAATGTATCGTGCGGGAATGGAGATGCATGCTCCGTCGATGGTAGTGGCGGTTGCAGCGTGCTCAGCTAAACGAATGGGTTGGCCACCAACGATCCCCAACACGCCGTCATCGAACATCGCAGACCATTGCGGAGGGCGTCGACGATATAGTTCAGCAGTGCGCACCGCCTGGCTCGCTAAGGGACGCATGTGCTCCGTCATCGTTGTGGCATTGAGATTGAGGCCCCCAATGGCAGCGAAGGCGCGGCGTCCATGACCCCCATGGCCCATCGGGCGGCGGCGTGCCACCCATCAGCCACACATTTGGTCTGCCCGCGAGAAAGATCAAACTTGCGGGTGCTCATCAACGATAATGCGAGGCCAGTGAGAGGATTGAACATCCGCGCCAAGTGAACGCGACCATGGGCCATAATTTCGCGTGTAATCTGTGGCCTGTCGGCCATGGCGATGCGCGCTAACGAGGTCTGCGCAGTGGCAGGGATCAAAATGGCAAATCCCCCAGAGTTGGCCGTGGCACCTACGCAGCCCGAGTAGTATGTCGTAGCAAACCTAGTAGTACTTCAGCGTCTCGCGCAGTCGCAGCTCGGAACCTCCGCCCTCCTGGAGGGAGACAATCGCCCGATGGCGAAGGGAGGGAAGAAGATGGCGGAATTTGCGATGGCGTGGATGCCGGCGCGTGCATAGCAACGATCTTGCATTCCAAGAGACGTCCCTAAGGCTATGCACGTCGCGAGCCTTTGCCACAATATCCCACGGTGACCATCTCGCGTCAAAGATGCCACCCGGTGGTGTCCAGGCCCTCGCATGGCGGGCGGCGACAATGGCGCGTCGTGCGCCGCTCCGCCGCGGCCCCGCGCAGGCATCGGAATGCTCGGCCCGCCGGCCGCGCCTGCGCGGCATCCTCAGGTCCACGGTCAAAACCGATTTCTTAGCGCGTCGCTCCGCCGGTTCTGGCCCAACACTCCTCGGTGCGGCGCGCTCGCCACGTCCTGGCCCCCAGGCGTCAACGGCACAGGCCCTTCCCCAGTCTCCGGCCGGGCAACGCGGGGCGACGCGCCATCCGCTCGCATTGCATGGCGGGTCAAGGGGCCGCCGCCGCGACGCGCGCATGTTCCGGCCAAAAGTAAGAGCGACTTTTCGCCGGATCGGGCACCCTGGAGCCCCCAGATGACTGAGCGCGATGCGATCGCAGCGTCTTGCGCGCCCAGGTCAGGCCCCCCCGCGGCAGGGCGCCAGGCGTGGCCCCCTCGAATGAGTTGGCGAACGTAGCTTCGAAATGAACGATGTCGATGTTGAGGCGCTGGGCAACATCAGAGCATCAGGGTTCCACGCGATCTGCGTGGGCTCGGTACTGCTTGAACCAGCCTCGAGCTCGCGCGCTGGGATGGCCTCGGCTGTGACCAGACCACGGCCGCGCTGGCTTCGCCAGGCGAGGTCGGGCCTGGCCTTGCTGAGCATGGCGTGGAGCTGCTTGGTCTGGATCCCCCCTACCCGTGTCTTTAGGAGACTCGTCGCCACTGATGCAGAGGGGCTTCGGGTGGCCGCTGACGTCAGAGATGACGAATTCCCTCCACTGACCATTTGACTTAAGAGCACGAGCCAAAAAAAGGGCGCGCGCAGGCGCTGCTGCACCGCCCTCAATCTGGATGTTGAAGCGGCGGTTTGGGGTGTCGGCGCCGACGACCTGCAGAGCATCCAAGGGGACAGCGGCCGCCTCGAACCATGGAGCCGGTGCAGTTCTGAGCGCGCTCGAGGTAAAGGTGCCGGGTGAGCCGCAAGTGAACACCGTGGCGGCTGCAGACCTGTCCCACTCCGCGAGCTGCTGGATGGAGCATGTGGGGTTGCGTTACCCGGCCATAGACAGCAGCTCCTCCACCTTGGACAGAGAGTCTCGCATGTGGACCTGGTGCGCGGAGATCCTGGTATTCGGCGCTTGGCAGACAGCCATGCTGCGCTCCAGTTCAGACTGCTTCGTCTGCTGCGGGGCCATCTCCGTTCGCACCGTGGAAAAGAAGTTGGAGCGAAGCGCATTCTGCACGGAGGAAAAAGAGGACGAAACAACTGCTGCAACCGATGTTTCCAGCGCCGCTTTCGTGGAATCGAGCTGGGCGGCGACCATCTGCTGAATCGTGGATGCCAGTGAGCCACCGCCAGGAACAGCAGGAAGAGGAGTGGCAGTGCCGCCGATCGGACTAGCCGCATCCGCAGAGTGCTGTCGCCACGGGTCCTGCCGAAGGAACAAGTCCTGTTGGTGCGCCTGTGACTGCATGGGGAACGTAGACGCACGCGGCGCCGAGGAGGAAGAGGCAGCAACTGCAGGTCGTGATCCCTCCTGGGAGGGAAGGTGGGCGCGGCCTCCAAGTCGGCGAGCAGGGAACCGTCCGCGACCATGGCGTCCAGGGCGGAGGCGGCGGCGGCAGCGCGGTGATCATCCTGGGCCTGACGACAGGAGCTCCGCTGCTTGCGGCGATAAGCTCGAGGACGTCAGGGAGTTTCTTGATCACGCTGCTGACTCGACGGGGCCGACGCTGATGAGGGTGAGGATCAGAGTCGGCAGCACTGCGGCCCCTGCGACTGTGGCTGCGAACCTCCACATGTTGCGAGTTGCTGGATCTCGAGCTGGTGGACGAAGGTGGCATCTCATCAGCAAACGGGGCGGCGGGAACTGGAAACTCCACAGCTTACCCGCTACCGCAACTGCAAGAATGGGTGAGCGCAGACTGAAAGTGCGGGGGGCGAGGCCCGCGGTAGAGGCCGAAGGAGGATACCAAACAGAACTGTCTTGCCCGCCTCGGGCCAGAGGTCTCCATTCTGGTCCACGGGGGAAACGTGGTCTTGAGCCAAAATGGCTACGGAGGAGGAGGAGGGGATGGAGAAGGAGGAGGAGGAGGAGGTAAAGCAGGAGGCGGAGGAGAATGAGGAGGAAGAAACGGGGGAAGAATACCCAGGAGAGGGGCCGTTCCTGGATCCGCGCCGCCTGCTCGGCGTGGCCGGCCAGGGGCGCCAGCGGCTCCGCTGGGCACCCCGACAGCACCGCCGCGCACAGCAGGGAGTCGAGCTCATGGGGCGCGATCTGGGGGGCGGCTCTGGAAGTCGAGGAGGGGGGAAGGGAGGACAAGGGATGGGGGAGGAGGAGGCGAGGAGGGGTATACGGAGAGGCCAGGGAGGGATTGGGAAAGGAGAGAGAGTGCGAGAAACCGGCACGAACACGGTGGGATAGATGCTCCTGCTCAAGAGCGGCGAACAAATCCGTACTCGCGTCCTCGCGGTCCGGATTCCGCGGGGCGAAATCCCACCGATACGCGGTCTCACAGATACGTTCCGCGTGGGGCATCCGCGAAAAAAACGCTCCGTATCCACGGGGTCGCGGAGTCGAGCTGCCGGATCGGCACGGGACCCCCCTGGCAGCGCCTCTGGCACCCCTCCTGGCGCTCTCCGCGCACAATGTGAACAAAACAAATACATCAACATGAACTTTCGGAGGTCCGCGTAATGTCTTGGATCGGCGCAGGACCCCCCGAATGGAACCTCCAGCGCCCCCCCTGGCGCGCTCCGCGCGCCAGGGCTGGTGGTCCAAAGCCGATCGAATTTTTGTCCGAACCATAATGTGGTAACGGGACTTGGTTTTGAAAAGACATTACCCGGCGTCCTTCCTTTTGTTAGTGTTCCTCTTTCCTTCTCTGATTCGTACTTCTGCTTTTCGCATGTCAACCAGATCGGCACACTCCTCACACGCTTCTTGGCCCCATAGGAAGCTCCCCTGAAAGCCCCAGTGACAACGTCCAAGTCCGAGATACTCAAAGCAAATTCTGGCATGTGCTGTACATCTACGTCGGCTTAAACAACATCGGAACCGAGTTTAATGCACGTTGCTACAAGTTGCTGACGGCACCTAACTCAATCATGGCTTACAGGTATCGACCGTTGACTCCACTCCAACCAATTAACAAAAACACTTCCAGCGGCCACTATCGTTTATCGATTCGCTTGCGTTGGCTAGCACACGTAGAGATGTGTGGATACACATATATGTGTGTGCAGGCGGGGGTCAGAGCGGTAGCTCATAGGGAATGAAGGGGAGCCACAACATGCAATGATCACTCAAACTGGGCGTTGCCCCTTCTTACTCCCTCTAATCGTTGGCCAAAGTTGTTGACAGAGCTTCGAGTGCCTCGAGACAACGGCACCAGCGTGTGCGAGCCACAGGGCTCACCCCGAGGCCACGGCAGAATTCACACCTCGAGTGCACCACCGTCGCGCAACGACCGGGGCCAGAACGCCGTCCCAAGAGGGCCTCGAGGGGGAACAGACTCGCACCGCGCTGTGCCCAGAAGCCCGAGAAGAAGAAGCGAAGCTCTCGCGAGACGTCGAACGGGCAAGAGCGGCCAGGCAGAGAAGGAGCCTGGACGGCATGACACAGGGCGGACTGCGGGCGGCCCACAAAGGCTGCCATGCATTCTGATGCGACCAACGTTCGCTCATTACCCCTCCGCCCACACATTGACCGTGAACGTGTTCATGTGTGCGCAGGCGGGGGCTAGAGCGGTAGCTCATAGGGAATGAAGGGGAGCCGCAACATGCAATGATCACTCAAACTGGGCGCTGCCCCTTCTTACTCCCTCTACTCGTTGGCCAAAGCTGTTGACAGAGCTTCGAGTGCCTCGAGACAACGGCACCAGCATGTGCGAGCCACAGGGCTCACCCCGAGGCCACGGCAGAATTCACACCTCGAGTGCACCACCGTCGCGCAACGACCGGGGCCAGAACGCCGTCCCAAGAGGGCCTCGAGGGGGAGCAGACTCGCACCACGCTGCGCCCAGAAGCCCGAGAAGAAGAAGCGAAACTCTCGCGAGACGTTGAACGGGCAAGAGCGGCCAGGCAGAGAAGGAGCCTGGACGGCGCGACACAGGGCGGGCTGCGGGCGGGCCACAAAGGCTGCCATGCATTCTGATGCGACCAACGTTCGCTCATTATCCCTCCGCCCACACATTGACCGTACACGTGTTCATGTGTGCGCAGGCGGGGGTTAGAGCGGTAGCTCATAGGGAATGAAGGGGAGCCACAACATGCAATGATCACTCAAACTGGGCGTTGCCCCTTCTTACTCCCTCTACTCGTTGGCCAAAGCTGTTGACAGAGCTTCGAGTGCCTCGAGACAACGGCACCAGCATGTGCGAGCCACAGGGCTCACCCCGAGGCCACGGCAGAATCCACACCTCGAGTGTGCCACCGTCGTGCAACGACCGGGGTCAGAAAGCCGTCCCAAGAGGGCCTCGAGGGGGAGCAGACTCGCACCACGCTGTGCCCAGAAGCCCGAGATGAAGAAGCTGTCCACTCCAAGAACACCCAAAAGCTCTCCAATGCGTTCCGAAATATGGCCGAAGGCCGCCCACAACATTCTTCAGAGTCGCACCTGGCCTGGTTTCGAGGATACTCTCTACAGCATGCCCGAGCACGGGCAATCAAAGTCCTGAGAAGGACTGGAGCGAGGAACGGGCGGCGGCAGGAAACGCATGTCGGCCAAAAATCGTGGCCCCACCTGAATGTAAATCTTGCTGTCTTTATGAGCTCCAATGACCTCGGAGCACACTTTAGGCAAGTAGCCTGTCAGCAAGTATTCATGCGTAGCACCGCCTCTGCGCATATACAGACTAGGCCGAGATGCACGCGCCCGATTCTCGCAGGCCAGTGCGAACAAGCAAATGACAGGCACGAGGAGACGAGGGCCATGAACGCCCGTCACGCTGCAGCTGCATGCGAATGACCGCTCCCTCAAGCGGGCCATCTAGTTACATCGTCTCTCGTGCTCCCTTTTTGACAGGCTGTCCTTGTCTATGGCAACGACATTATGCTCTGACGCAAGGCTAGAGCTGAGATCATGCGCGCCAGAGTACTGCTGGCGCCAGGTGCTGCACCAAACTCAGTGCAACGTTAGCTTGGCTCCTGGTGGCACCCTCGGCCCACAGCAAGGTAAACTTGTAATGTGACATCCGCGTCTTCCCATTGAACGGCAACGGCAGATTCATGGCGTTAAGATGGCCGACAAACTGCTGGCTGCTCGACGGAATCTAGCAAGAGCGGCAGCGCCGATCTGGGCATCTTGCAGCTTCCCCAGGCCAGCTTTGGCCGTGCGTCTCTCGGCGGGGCTAGACCGCTTCCCCTTCCTTCAGGCGCGACGGCGCGTCCGCGGGGTTCCGAGCAGATGAGGTGAACCCAAATGCTGCCCGCGCGCCCATCGCCAGCTCCCAGGCCGAGAAGCTGCGCACAACCTTGTTGAGCTGACTGCTGCTTGAGCGGTGCTTTGAGAGCGCACCGATGTTGACCATGCTGTCGAGGAGGTGCAAGAAGACGCGCTGCTGTCGGCCCAACGATCGAGCACGCCATCGAATCATCATCAGCGCGCCCTGGCACTCCAGTACATTGATATGCGCAGGAACATCCCACACCAGCTGTCGCGCCTCACGCCATTGCCAAAGACCTGCATCAATCTCTTGCCGAGGGAAAACTTTGCTGAGCTCCTCAGAGCTCCCGTCACCACGACGGTCCGCACCATTGCTGTGGCTCGCCATCACAAGGCCCATCACCAGCCTACGCGAGACATCCGCATCACGCCAGGACGTAGCATCGCGTTTGGCCAGCTCTGCAAGCAACACATCTGCATGACATGCTTCGGACTGACTGCAGTGGCAGACCAGCTTGGCACCGCGCAGGTCCTCCAGGCGGCGAAGCAGCTCGGGCTGCTTGCGCAGCCATCCAGCAAACAGCGCCACCGCGTCCTCGCGGGAGCAGCTCGGGCCCACTGCGAACGGGTTGCCGAAACACGACGGGGCGAGGCCCCAGCGCCGTGAGCCGCGGCCGACGTAGACGAGCCTGTTGGCCGCCGCCGGCGCCGCTGCGGCGGGTTCCTCGCCCGCCTGCTGCTGCTCGGCCGATGCGGCTGCGCTGCAGGCCATCAGCTCGCCGCGGACCTCCGCGTCGACCTCCACGCGGCTGCGTCGCAGCGAGGTGACGTCGCCAGCCCACAGCTTCCGCCCGCCAGCCCAGGCCCGAGCGCTCTCGTGCAGCTCGGAGAAGGGCGGCACCGCCACAAGCAGCCCAGCCGCAACAGCCCAGTGCGCCAGCAGCCACGCCACCACCTCGCACTGGAACGAGTTGCCGATCAGCGAACGCCTCAGCCCCTCGTACTTGCCGGGCTCAGCCTTCGCCGCGCTGCTGGTCATGCAGGGCACGGTGTGGCCTTCGGCGAAGCCCATCAGCTTCTCCCTCATCACCGCGTCAGGAGGCGCGATCCGTCCGTCAGGCTAGTGAATGCACCACCTGTCACGGAACTGGTATGGCGGCGCCGCAAAGGCCGCCTCCTCCCAGCGCGTCAGCTCAGCAGCCGTGCACTCCCCGATGCCCGCAGGCCTGGGGCGCGGCTGCGAGCGCGGCGTCCAGCGAACGAACGCAGGGAGGGGCTCGTCACCCTCCGCTCCAGGGCAGCGCGCGCCAGCCGGCAGCCACTCCTCGAGCGGCGGGCGCTCCACCTCCAGCGACACGCGGCACAGGCGGCGAGAGGCGCCGTCCTTGGTCAGTACCATCACGGTCTTGGCCTCGCACGACGGCAGCAGGTCCCAGGACGGCCAGTAGAGACGAGGACGCCTCACCCAGCCAATGTCCCCAGCCTCAACCTCCAAGGGAATCCGCTCGAACAACCCGCTGAGGTGAAGGACGTCGGACTCTGCCATTGATGCCACATTTCCCCCAAGGAAGTCAACGCTCACCTCGGGCATGGCCGCGCGCAGGCCTCGGATGACCCTCGCCATGTGATCGACAAGCGAGGCGCGCGAGTCCGACGAGCCCTTGCGGTCGACGTTCAAGCTCGTGTAGATCTGGCATGGGAAGCCGCCAGTGACCACCGCGCGGGCGATGCGGCCACGGGCCCGCAGCAGACCAGCCAGGGCAGCAGGGTCAGCAGATGTAACATCTCCGAGGTGCTGCGTGCCAGGGTAAGCGCGCCGCGCGACGCGAACCGCCTGCGGGTCCACCTCGAACGACAGGTGCACCGCTGGTACCAGGCCCAGTATCTCGAAG